TGTGGTGCTGGGGGATCGAACCGCGGTCCCTGTGCTCTGCCAAGCCTGCTCCAAGTAGGTGCTTCAGACCACCGAGCCATCTCACCAGCCCCAGGCATGGCTCCCTTTGCCTAACTCTTTTTTATTTTCCTGGTACCAGGGATTGAACTCAGGACCTTGCACTTGCCTGGCAGGTGCCATTGCCACTGAGCCATCTCCTCGGCCCTTCTCTGCCTAATTCTTTTACCATCATGGAAACAGACAGTAGTTGACCAGACTTCCCTGCCAGAGAAAGCCAAATGATACCAAAAAATCTTCTCTTCTTGTCACCTACATGTCAGGAAGTCTCAAACTTTTTGATGATTACTTAGCCCTTCTTTTTTTCTAGAATTTGAAAGATGTATTGGCCAACCTGATACCTAAGGAGCAGGCCAGAATTAAGACCTTCAGACAGCAACATGGCAAGACTGTGGTGGGCCAAATCACTGTGGACATGGTAAGAGTTGTGGGGTCCTGGCTAGGAAAAGCAGGCCTTATGGTGTACCTCAACAAAGTGCCATTCTTCCAACTGACTGTTGAAAAAAGTATTCTGTCCTATACAAGGAAATATTGGGGCTTATGGTGTTCATTACAGATTAGATTGTTCTTTTCTACAAATTTAATACTTACATCAATCCTAATTCACCTATAGGAAAAATGATTGTAATTTCCAGACCTGTTGCTGACCCCTCAGCCTTTGGAGGCAGCATTGTTTGCCTTTTTTTTTTTTTTTTTTTTTTTTTTTTTTTTTGTGGAACTGGGATTGAACTCAGACCCTTGAGCTTGCCAGGCAAGCACGTATTCTACCGAGCCATCTTTCCAGCCTCTGGAGGCAGCATTGTGTATCTAGATGTATACTTCAGTAGGTTCTATATAACAGCTTTAGGATGGTGCACCCCCACCTCCCGCCACAATCTTACAAGTTTGAGCAACTCACATGGTAATTCTGTTCAGCCATTGGTTTTCTTCCTATCCCTGTAATAGATCTCATTCTGTTTACTTAATTTGAGAATCAGAAGAGTGTTAAGAGGGACCAGGGAGATGGCTCAGTGGAATAAGCGCTTCCCTGGCAAGCGCAAGGGTCTGAGTTCAATCCCTGGTTCCGCCAAAAAAAAAAAAAGAGGTTAAGAGTGAGCAGGAGGAAAGATACAATTAGAAAAGTAAAATAGAGGTAGAAACATCAAAGAAAGGTATTAATTTCTCAACTTAAATTTTTCCAGTATTGGTGGTCTTTACAAAGTTCAGTCATTTGTAAATTGATACTCTAGATATTTTTCTCCCTTAAGTGAAGAGAATTATGTTTTCTCCCTCAGGTTCCATGAAACTAATAAACTCTAGTCCGAATAATTCTGACTACTAGTCACACCCTCTTTTCTTTAGATGTATGGTGGCATGAGAGGCATGAAGGGACTGGTCTATGAAACATCAGTTCTTGATCCTGATGAGGTAAGACATCATCGTGTCATGCACTAATATCATTGAGTTTACTGGTCATGCAAACCGTACATGCAAAACCAGAGTAAGCCAGTGGGTAGAAAGAACAGCACAAATTACCTACTTTTGTATTTTGGAAGGTTAGAACATAAGTGATGTGGAATGATTGAGGGGAAAAAAACTTTTTTAATATGTCAAAGTACAAAATGAGGGTACTATGCAAAGATAAAGCTAGGTGCAGTGGCACATACCTGTAACCTAACTACCTAGGAACCTGAGTCAGGAGGAGCACTGTTTGAGTTTGAGGCCAAGCTAAACTGCATAGAGTACTTCTATCTCTAAAAGGTGTAGCCCAGTGGTAGAGCTCCCCTGGGTTCCATCACCAGTGGCATGCACACAGAAAAGACATAAATATGTAAGAATTTAAATTTTAAAAATCCTATTCTAAGCTGTTGAAATCTTTGATATGAATAGAACTTAGAGGCTAATACACTTGAAAATTTCACTCTTCTCCCTCCAGGGCATCCGCTTCCGAGGCCACAGTATCCCTGAGTGTCAGAAACTGCTGCCCAA